GATATTATTCTTGTGGCAAATAAAATTTTTTGGCACAAAGTTTTTTTCTCGTGGCTAAAAGATGGATATTGCCACAAATTATTAGTTGTGGCTATGATATGTTCTATTGCCACGAAATTACTTTCGTGCCAAATCTATTAGTTATTCGCAACGATGCTTTATTCGTGGCAAATAGTGTCTTTTGCCACGAATTTTCAATCCTTGTGGCGAAATGTCTTTTTTACAACGAATTTGTCTTCGTGGCAATTAGGAGCTATTTTGCCACGAATTTTCAATCCTTGTGGCGAAATGCCATTTTTGTCAACGAATTTGTTTTTATAGCAATTAGGATATAATAAAAATCCAAAATGGCATTTCCTTTAAATTTGACCATTTTTAAATATTATTCATACAGAAAAGATTAAAAAAAAAAAACGTACCAAACATTCTTATATTGAATTTAAATTAATCATATATATATATATATATATATATATATATATATATATATATATATCCATAATGCAATATTTATAAGTAATTAAAAATTAAAGATATAATAAAAAAATATAGATCATATATCAAATCTTAAATAAATTTGCAACTACAAAATTTTACTTCTATTTAGTAAGGGTATAAATAAAAGATTTAGTTATTTGAGAATTAAATGGAATAAAAGATCTTAAAAGTACGTAGGATTTTGTTGGCGCAAAGCCTTTAACAAAGGACAATCTAGTAATTTTGGTTATTACAAACTATTAATGGTGTTTGTGGATTAGTGTTTAATTATATACATTGAGTGTTATAGATGACTCGTCTTCAAAAATTGACCTCAATGAAGCGATCACATCAATGGAAAAGAATGGATACAAAGAGACATGAATTAAGTTGCAAGGAAACCAAATATTGCAAGTCCATCCAAAGATAGCTTGGACTAAAATTAATGAGCAAACAAGCAACTCAAAGAAATTGGAAGAAAGCAAGAATAACTCAAAGCCTAAACAATCATATATGAACAAAGCTTGAAGAAATGAGTAGATAGTATGGTGAGTATTTAGGATTCAATGTCAAAGTATTTATGAATCCATTTGAAGCTCATCTCTATAGGACTATGCATATCATATCATCATTCACATGCATGTTCCTATATACACTAACAATAGACACATGAAATCATTGCTAAAAAGAATAAGTTAGTTTAAGTTTGCATAAGCTTTAAAAGAACTCAATATTTGAGGTAGAAATGGTAAGACCATGCACACCACTTGATCATATGTTTTATTTTGGTCTCTAGAAAGTAGAGTTTAAGGCATTGAACTTACTTTTTCATCCACAAAGCCTTTGTTACCATGACTTGATAAATGACTTTACGATTCAGACATTTCTTATGAAAAACTGTTTCTTGGTTTTTTAGCTAAGTATGGAAAATATGATTTTTTTGAAATAAAGATATTTTCAAAATAATTTTTTCCGATAATTACTCCTTACACTTAAAATAGCCTAAATTGATTTTATGGGATTTTTCATCAATTCTATATAGGCCTACATGGAGGATCAAGTTTTACCAAAACTTTTGGGATCCCCAATTTGTACTAAAACTGATTTTTTTTTTTTTATTTTATTTAGTTAGATTTTAATTTTCTTGTATTTTTTATTGAATCCAAATAGGGGGTACATCCTTATTTACTTAAATGTTTTCAATGGAAATAAGGTATGCAGAAGTAACAACCCATGCTGTCTATCAGATGACTAAACCAGAAAATTTATTTATTTTTCATTTGACCGACCAGATCAGTTATACTATTGATAGGATGACAAAACCAATGAGCTCGCATCTTTTGTGGTTTATCAATTGACCGATCAGTTCACTAATGTAACCAATCAAATGTGTCCAAGTGGGCGATTAGATGCTTTATGTAACCAATTAGATGGATCAAATTTTAGAAAGCGCGATGAAACAAGATCTAATCTTATCGATCACTTCTATAATTTAACCGATCAGATGCTCCAACTGCTTGAACAGATATAACATATATTCGATCACTTTAGACGAATAGATAACTCAAGTGACCGATTAGATGGACTAAAATTTCAAATTTGGAAAATTAATTTACCCCTAAAGGCTATATTTTTCAAGGGGTTATAAATACACAATGTTTTGGACATTATGGGGATGCATTAGAGCGAAATAGAGAAACCTTCTTGAGAATCAAAGAGATTTTGTTCTTCATCTTATTTATCATCTCATACATATATCATTCATAGAGTATTGAGCTTCATTTGTATTCATTTATACTCTAGTTGTGAGATTTGATTTGCATATCAATCTTTGAGAGATATATTCTGTGCAACAAATTTGTATCTACAATCAATTGTATGGATCGATGTGATCCAGTAGAAGTCCAAGAGAGGATTGTTCTCTCAGTAAGAAGATTAGAAGCGGTGTGCTTCTTGTACCGGTTTGCTCTCCACCCGTAAGGAGGTGCCATAGTAGAATTGGAAAAGTTTCAAGAGGGATCTTGAGCCGAAGAAAGATGTAGATGAAGCAAGATACATAGATGGGAGCAAAGAGAGGGAAAAAATAGATTTGTCGGGTTTAACTCTAAAAAATGGGTATGACCCATGTTTTGTATCTTTTTAAGTTTAAAAGAAGTGTCAACCTCTTATTGGGACACGTTAATGTGCATGACAAAATTTGTCTTGATGGGCAAGATTGAAACATTATCTTATATATAAAGCATCTAAAGGATGACTTTTAGGTATATCATAAAAACATAGTGTGATATTTTTGTGTATAAGGCTATGAGCCTATTAGTAAAATATTATCTATCTATCTATTGATTAATTTTTATTATGTGTTTCATTACTTATGTTTGATGTATTCTTAATTCATTTATCAATTAGTGTGTATAGTATAAACACACTTATTGATACTTCAAATAATTTTAAACATGATTTTTATTTTTATTTTTATTTTTATTTTTTTAGATGTTTGTCTTTTCCAAAAATTTATATTTTCTATCAAATTACCCATCATATATGCATTCTAATTTTTGAAAATTAAATATATTAAAAATAAGATTATGTATATTTAGAGTTTATAATTATTTTTTATTTAAATTAATTTACTTAAATATATGAAAATTAGTTTGATTTATCTGATATTTATAGTTCATATCACACTATTTAACAAAATAGTTTAATTATTTAAATCGCTTAAAATATTTTTCAAAAAATTGGACTAAAAATACTTCCAATTAGGTTTATATATATATATATATTAAAAATCACGAAATATATTCAGAAGGAAAACAACAAAAAGTGATTTCATTATTTTAAAAATCACAAAATATATTGAGAAGGAAAACAACAAAAAGTGGTTTCATTATTGGGATGCTAATTTCTCATTCTCTCTTTATTATATTTAACAAAAATATTTAAATAATTAATTTTTTTATTTTTCCTTTTTTATTTATTAATATAAAAAAATATTTATTAATTGATATAAAAAGAGTTTTTAAAATAGTTTATATAAAACTCTAACACAAATTACCTTTTTATCTATTTATTATGAGTTTTTTTTATTAAAAAGAAATCTAATTAAAAAATGATATATTTAAAGAAATTAAAATAAAATAATTTTTATAAAACTGTACCACAAATTACCTATTTTTATAAAACCCTACCACAAATTACTTATTTTATTTTCTATAAAACTCTATCACATGTTACCTACATTCATCTATTTATTATGTGTGTTTTTTTTTTTTTTTTAATTAAAAGGATATCTAATTAGACAAGGATATATTTAAAGAAAGTAAAATAATTTCTATTTATTAATTGATGTAAAAAAAGTTTTTAAAAGAGTTTCTATAAAACTTTAACATAAATTACCTATTTATCTATTTATTAGACAAGAGTATATTTAAAGAAAATATAATAATTTCTATAAAACTCTATCATAAATTACCTATTTCTATAAAACTGTACCACAAATTACCACTCTAACACAAATTACCTATTTATCTATTTATTAGACAAGAATATATTTATATGAGCTTTTTTAATAAACCTAGAGATTTCGGTATATATATATATATATATTACTTTTAAAAGTACAGGGGTTAGAGAATTTCAAATCATTAATTTATAATTAATTTTAAAAAATAATTTAAATAAAATATCAATAAGCAAAGTCTAACTAAAATAATTCTATACTATTACCATACAAAGATACCTAATTATAATAAATTAAGAGAATTCCTTCAACCGAAACTTCGAATTTCATTCTCTAAAAGTTTCCTATCAATTTTCTTCGTTTCTTATCAATTTTCTTCTCTAGTACAATTTACTTTTCTAATATTTATCTCATACTCCATTTTTTCAGCTATTCATGATTCAACATTCACAAATAGTGAGTTTAAATTATCACTACTAATATCACTCCATTGTTAAACTTATATTGTGATAAAAAATCCGCTACAGCTACCTTGTCCAAGCAAATAAATAAAAAAATGTATTAAAGCTTCATACCTAAAGTCAAAAAAGTAGTTAAAATTATTTTATACACTTAGTTACTTAATAAGTTTTATTTTTATCTTTTACTATTTTATGTTGTTGATCTATTATGATTTACAATTATGACTAATTTTTTAAAATTATTAGAAACCAAATATCAAAATTAAAATTATGTATAATTAGAGTTATTAATTATTTTTTATTAAAATTATTTACTTAAATACATGAAAATTAGATTGATTTTTATGATAATATGAAACTTTGGCCTTTTTAAAATGAAAAAATAAAATTAATTTAAAATTTGAATTGTAAATATTTTTGTTCAAATTTTTGAAGAGCATTTTATAAAATATTTAGATAATTTTTAAGCTATTTAAATAATTAAACTATGTTGTACTAAAAAATTTTATAATTAAAATTTTATATTCCGTATTAATTTTATTTTTTCAACTTTAAAAGCGCTAAAGTTTCGCGCCTGGAATTTCGCCAATTGAAAAGGAAAACCCTATTGGGATGCTAAACGAAACATACGGTTTCTCATTCTCCCTTGCCATTACTGTGAGCAAACTCTCTTCCATAGGAGAGAATACTAAATCTAATCGATCTTCTTCAATCTTCCACTACTCTATCACTGTAGGAGCTCTCACTCTGTATTGGGAATTTGATTCCATCTTCGAGTTGATCTCTCTGTCACCGGAAAAAGCTCTCACTCTGTATTAGGGATTTGATTCAATCTTCCACTCGATCTCTCTATCACTTGTAGGAGCTCTTACTCTGTATTGGGGATTTTATTCAATCTTCCACTCTATATCTCTATCACTGGTAGGAAGTCTCACTCTGTATTGGGGATTTGATGCGGATTTTGACGTTCAATAAGTTGTTTAGGGTTTATTAATTTAAGGGAAATTTTGGAGAGAAATGTTGGCATTGGTTGGGTCAAGAGGAGGAGGAGATGCATCATCAACTAATATGGAGAAGGATTCTACCTCTCTAAAATCTGTGAGCGAGCAATAGAGTTCCATTGAAATCCATTCAAGCCTAAGCATATCAGGTTTTTAAATTTCAATCAATTTTATTTTTATTTTTTTAATATTTGTTCAATTTTCTTAAAAACATTTGATGTATTTTTTCTCTTGTTTTGAATGTAATCTAGGGTTTATTATTGGTGGATGAAGCAAACTATTCAACTTTTACTTCACGAGCATTCTAGCAGGACAAGTATCTTATATTTGTTGATTTTTTTTTCCTTCATATTTTCTTCAAATATCGTCTAATAATCTGTATTTTTTATTTTTATTTTCGTTGAATATCATGTATATGTATTCTTTTAATTTGATTTCCATAATTGAAGATAGATTGAGGATTAGAATTCTTTAGGTGAAAGTTTATTGTACGCATACATAGTGTTTGAGAAATTGTCTCAATGGAAATTTATGTACTTTTTTATTTTTCGTTCATTTTTTATTATTGTTTATAGTCTTAATTGTGCAATGGAAGTGTTTCAATTGGAAAAATCCAAGCTTGTGGTTTTAGAATCACATTTCATTCTATCAGTTTCGTTTTTTCTGGTAGCAATTTCTAGTTGATTGACTCGAAAACATCTGCCATACATTGAGATCACGTAAGGGCATGAGGGAACTTGACGAGAAGAATTCAGAAACAAAGGTACATCTCTTTTTGTTGGGGAAAAAAAATCATTATTAGTTATCTTGTGGGTAGATATCTCAAGTTTAACTGTCATTCCAAAGATCTTTGTGGAGTCTTTTTCCCTATGGTTCTTTTTATTTTTATTTTTTATTGTGTTCTATTATTTATAGTCTTAACCAACTCCATTGCAGCACCTGAAATCAAGTACACTTGTAATTTGTATTCAAATTGAGTTAAAGTTGTAGGCATCTAAAAGTCTCATTTAGGAATCAAGTACCATGGAAATACCATAAATGTGAGGATATGATGGCTATGCCATGTCTATTTGGATAAGGCCCATCTATTTTTCTTTTTTACTTCTACCTAACAAATTGATGCCTGGTCAGATTTCAGGTAAGCAATTGTTCTTGTGAAAATATGCCTCTCATACCTTTAAGTTCTCTTTGATATATTAGTTAGAACTTGCAGCTAAGGGTGGCAATTCTAAAGGATCTTGCCAGCCAAACTAAAATTTGTCCAATTTCAAGCTGGGTTGGATTTATTTACAAGTTATTAGAGTGCTATTTTGGTTGAGAAGTCTCTAATGTTAGTGATTTTATATAAAAAATTTGCCTTTCCATTGCAGGTAAAGTGGGAGGATAACACAACTAGATCAAAATGGGTTATTGTCAATCACGCTACTTTCTTAGTTATTTTTCAAAGGTTATTAGCAGCCCTTGTTCCTCAGAAAGTAATATGGTAATTTTTTGTTCTTCCTTTTTATTCTAATAATTGTATCAAATAATACATACTTTGGTTTCTCAGTGAACATTATGATCATCATGATTCTACGTACTTAGTAAAATTGTGTCAATAACTTGATGGTTGTCTGCATCTAACTTCGTGACGTTTGGTCTAGACAATAATTGGAAATAAAAATATTCGTTAAATTAATGGTAATATGATCGACGAAGGGATGGAAATTAGGATTGAATAATCAATGAGATACTCAACTTATAAAGACATTCTTTGTTAAAATTGGTTTGTAAAACCACATAAGGGGCACTATCTTTTTTTGAGTTGACTTATGAATTGTTTAAGGTTTTTATCTTTTTTTGAGTAGGTTTTTCTTATCATTATCAAATGAAAATAGTGACTAACAGTCAAATTCAATATTTTCCTGGTGTGCTAAGGTTTTATCCTTTTTCCGCAGTTGTTTTTTTATTTTTTATTTTTTTATTTTTCTCTTCTAAATCACAATTATAGGTATCCATGTCAAAATTGATCTCGTGTATGGTTTTACGGAATGGTTAAACTCTTCTTGTTTGGTTAATTTTGATTGTCTAAAAAATTAATTATTTAGCCAAAGTAAATTAAAAAAAGTTAACATTAAAAATTATGTAAAACTAACTAGTCGATTGATTAAAAATAAAGTTAGTAACTTCTAGCTTGGTATAATATATTGCCCATTAGTTTATAGAAAAAGTCTGGTTATGTGATTTGAGTTATTAAAACTCATGGTCTAATTCTCTACCTAATAGAAATTTCAAGTTAGCAAGCAATGACGAGCTTATAAAAAACTATGATGATCAATTTTGTTTCACAAAGTAGATATTCTTAACGGATGTTGATTTTTCAGAGCTTAGCTTGTTAGTGATAAATCTTAATAGTAGTATTTTGTCTTTTCTATTTTGTACTTTTCCTTATCATCTAGAAGATGAATTGATATTCTTATTCTCTATTTATACTTTTTCTTGGATTTATTTATTTTGACATATGCACTAATTGTATTTATTCATTGTTTGTTTTGTAGATTTTTGGATGGGCTCATGCTACGAGACTTCAAGCTCTTTTTGTTTAAGATGGTTTAAGTAGTGTATGTCCAGGTCTCTAAACTCTTTTTTTAGGAATCTATAGCACATTTTTGTCTAAGATCTTGAAACATTTTATTTAAGATACTAGCTTGTTTTGGTCCAAATTATTAGAATTGAAATTGTTTTAGTTGTGAAGACTCATTTTTTTACTCGATGGGCTTTATTATGTATGTTGTAAATAATACATTTTTTTGTTGGTGTAACATATGCAATATCAAGTATTTATTTGTTTGCATAATCGTGTTGATGTGATAATTTTTATTTTTTTGATATTATTTCTTATGTTTATAAGGTTAGTAATTTACAGGTTTGTTACAAATTCTTATCGTGCCACAATAAATATGTGGCATATTTTTTGTGTTTACTACAATATATATTTTTGGCTATTAAATTAAATTTTATTTTTTTAATAATAGAATAGCCACGGATAAACTCCGTGGCCTTTTTGGATACTTGCCACAACGTATATTCGTGGGCAATTAGATTTATTGCCATGAATGAATTCTGTGGCCTTTTTAGATATTTGTCACGACTTATATTCGTGGGCAATTAGATTTATAGCCACGAATGAACTCCGTGGGAAAACGGTTAAATTAGTCACGATATATATTTTCGTTGCAAAAGTATTGAATTAGTCACGATTAATTCCTATATCGAGATTGCTAATTGCTACGAAAGTATTGTTATTTAGCTACGAAATAGTTTGTGGCGATAGGAGGTATTTTACCACGAGTTCAAATTTTGTGGCAAAAGTTCCACATTTTGCCACGAAAATTTTTAGTCATGGTTATTTGCTATCTGTGACGGTGCTACGCCCACGACTGATCCACAAGCTATTTCTTGTAACTAAAAGGCTTTTGCCACGAAATTTGAAGGTTTTTGCCACGAAGTGTCTTGTGGCAAGAACCTTAATTTGTTGTAGTGATTGTCTTCACTTTTTTTTTTTTAATGCCAATTTCCAATTTCCAAGGCTTGATCAACAAAACCAGCTCATTAAATTTAAATCATTGACTTTTTGGACTACAAACAAATCTCTAAAATTTTGGCAAAGAGTGAATGGAAATTTGCTTCCATCATAGCACCTTTTGATCATGCTGCAATTTTGAGATCTCTTGCCTTGTAGGAAAAGAAAAGACCAAATCTTGCCTTTCTTTTGCAAAGAAGTATAAGGGCAAGTGTGAGAAATATTTCTTTAAATAAAAGATCCACGAGGTTAAAAATGGACTGGGTATCAAAAAAAAAAATTCATTCAATTGCGCATATCAAGTTGAAAGAGCAACCCCATATATAACCTTTTTTTTTTTTTTTTTAACCTTTTTCCTTTTCTCTCTGGAAACTGACTAACAGAGTGCATGAAATTTTCACCCTTCCAAACTTGCCACAAATTCTTTTGGCTTCTTTAGGAGGGAAGCCACTAATTTAGGTTTTCCTACTTATAAGACCCAACACACCATTCCTAGGTGCTCCATCTTTTCTCCGGTTAGTTTTGTGCTTCTTTGAAATGTTCGCACTTGTAGGGAGGTAAAGAGACATGCAGTATTATTTCCTGGCTCTCCTTCTTTGTTTGTTGATGCGAGTCTCATTTATTTATTTTTTTTGACATGATTTTTTTTTTTCTCTTTACTGATGCAGATATACATGCGAGCTTCACTGTAAATCCCACGAATAATACAAGGTGTCACCCTTAGAAGATAATCTCTCGACATCGGATCAGTGAATATTTATTTATTTATTTATTTATTTTTGTTGTCTTTCTCAAAAAAAAAAAAAAATTAATAATAATAGTAATGGAAGATTTATTTCCATATGTGCTATATCACCGTGCTTATATTTTGCACATACGGGTTTAGGGTCAAACCCTAAACAATATTCTCGTCGTTTTCTTCTTTCGTAGCAGACATTGTGTTGGGCAGAGAGGAATCTTGGTGCGCTGTGTTGTTGCACGTGGACTGGTTCAATCTCTGGGAGAAGCACATCTTGACACGCGTGGGCACCATATATACAGGTACCATTTTCTATAAGTAATTGGACAGCCTCTTCTTTATTATTATTAGTATCATATATATATATATATATATATATATATATATATATATATATATATGTCAACATGTATCTGCACAATTCGGCCATACCCACCTCATCATTTTTTTGTTGAAAGATTTAGATTTCCCATTGAAACAGTCCATCATATGACTTCCTTTGGCTAGATCCAAGCACAACTAATGACATCCTCCCCAAAAAGAAAACTGGTATGGATGCATGGTATTTTGATAGTTTCTTGTTAGGAGGACATCAACCTTTTTCAACCTTATGAACATTGTTGCCAAATTATCTTCACTCGTTTGACTCACAATACATCTTGAAGCAATTACAGTGTAGTTAGCCCCAGATTCAAAAATTGAGGATTAATGCCTTGTTGCCGTCATCAACTAAGCGCGCATGACGTATAGCAGATCAGGAAAATTTGAGAATCAATATCTCAATGTCATCACCATCGAGGATTACAACATAGTTATTTATTTATTTTTTTAAAATGACGTGTTTTTTTGCAATGAAGATCGTCCCAAAGTTGCCAATACAGAGTAGAGAAATAGTAAACTATTTCTCAGGTCTTGGGTTAAAATATCTTAAAATCAACATTTTAAGACACACACTAGTAGAAACAGTTGCCAGAAATTGGTACATAGGTGCCCCGCGATCTATAACATGTTGTTCCTAGTCTGACCGAACTCCAAATGGGTTCTCCTTCCGCCATCCTCCACCGATGTTATCGTAGACAACAATAAGCTTTCCTTTGCTATATTGCAACAATTGTTCATTTTTTTTGTTTTTTTTTTTTTTTTTTTTTTTGTTTTTTTTCCAGGACTTTGCTTGGTGTCCACCCAGTTGCTACATTTTTTGATAGATCATTTTGAAATGAATTGTTGAGGACTTTGCTTGGTGTCCACCCAGTTGCTACATTTTTTTTTTTCTTTTTTTTTTTGATAGATCATTCTGGGATGAATTGTTGAGGACTTTGCTTGGTGTCCACCCAGTTGCTACATTTTTTTTGATAGATCATTCTAGAACGAATTGTTGATAAACTTCTTTTAACGTAGCAATATGAGAGTTGCCCATCATGTTTGAACTTTATCATTGAAACACGTCATTTTTTTATTTTTTTATTTTTCATATGCGAAGGTCAAAAAGTTTCTATCCAAGCATTTGCAGTTAGGTAGTATTTCATCAGTGTATCCCGTGCACTCATATTTCATACACACATGCTTGTTCATCACCATTTTTTTTTTGCTAGCTATGAATTTCACGCTATGAAATTTCATTACTTCCATGCTCACCACATTTGTTTCTAATCATGAATTGGGAATCCGTATTTAATTGATCATTCGCACCAAATATGTCTAGTGTATCTCCTCACTTAAGGAGGCTCGCCTACGTCTGATTCGACTCATCTTGCATTGGCTCTATGTGGTACCACTGGTCAATCGCGGGGGCTCGTCTGCACCTGATTCGGTTTATCATGTATTGATTATATCATACACTACTGGTCAATCGTGGAGCCTCGTCTGCATCTGATTCGGTTTACCGTGCCAGACTTTGTCGTGTACCACTTACTGCTCACCTATAGAGGTTTTCTTGTATCTAACTTGATTCACTGGATAACAACTATGTTTGGTACCACTGGTCAATCGTAGGGGCTCGTCTGCATTTGATTCGGTTTACCGTGCATTGATTTTGTCATGCATTACTGGCCAATCGTGGAGCCTCGTCTGCATTTGATTCGGTTTACCGTGCCAAACTTTGTCTTATACTATTTATTGCTCATCTTTGGAGACTCGACTCCGCCGATTTGCCTTACTGGATTGTAAGTCACGTGCATTTAGGAATAAAATAATTTCTTGTAAACTTATCATTTCATTTTATATTGCAGGAATTGTATTGCACCATGGTATACATCAAACGCTTCAAAGAAGGGACCATGACTATTATTGAGAAACGAGGCAACCCTAGCGAGAGTGGGACGACTCTGGACATCCAAAAACCTCTTATAGGGCAGTATACATTAAAGGTTCCCCGCCTCGATAATTCTCTTCATTTGCAATGGTGGTCAAGCAAATTTCCTTATGAGCTTTCGAACATTGGCCAGATAGAAGATCCAAATATCACACCTGCCCCCTGGGCCTTGACATTGCAGCCTTCTCACTATAATAGATCGGTGGATGTAGCAAACCAATTTCAGCTACTGGGTCACAAAATATAGTCTAAAGAAGTAAAGTGGAACACATCTTTTAAAATCGTGGGGGATTTATCATTCGTGGAGGGTTATTGGGAATGGTTGGAGGATATTTTGGCCTGCCATCAGGATTTCCTCAAGAAAATGAGGTTGTATGATGTTGTTTTCGCCTCTTTGTTCTCATATGATCGCCACGGACATGTGCTGAAGGCGTTTCTGGAATCTTGGTGTCCTTCCACTAACACGCTTCACACCTCCAATGGTGAACTGTCCATTTCCATATGGGACTTGAATAAAATTGGTGGCCTTCCTTTTGACGAAATTTTTTTTGACGAAGTTGTTCCCCATGCAGAAGAGTTTTCTAAAACTAGGGACGAGGGCAAGCTTCTCCTTCCGTTAAGCTGTCATCATTTGTTTTTGGCATTTCATCGCCTTTGCAAGAAAAGAAAAGGAGCGCCTTCAGTGAAGATCCATGACTGGGTGAACTTTTGGTTCAAGGCCCAATAAAACACAAGAAGCTAGCCGCCTATAAAAAAGGCCAGGAACAAGACCTAACGACCTCGAGAGACGCACAATCCCACCAGAGCCATTGGATCCACTCAAAAAAGGTCATCTCAAGGAGAGGAAGTTTTCTCTAGTCTTGGAGTGGGCCCTGAAATCCGAGAGAAGACTTACTTAACTGCCTTTCTAGCTTATTGGTTATGTAGATTCGTCCCACCTACTATGCCTGCTGGCATGATTCGTCCGGGGGTGCTCAAGATTGCGAGCATGATGGCACATGGGAATAAGTTCTGTCTTTTTGTTCCCATTTTAGCCAGCATTTATCGAGGTCTGAATGAGATTGTTAACTCTTCTGATCCCGGGAGCACTACTGTGGTATTCCCTGTTCACTATGTCTATG